AAAATATTTTAATATTCAAGTGACTGACAAAATAAGAAATTCCTTCTCGAGAAGGAATTTCTTAAATTTAAAACTGATTTCAATATCATCTGCTGATTAACAGTTGAGTGGCTATCTTCGTTCGAATTAACTGATGAATAAGTGATGGAACTATGCTCTAAAAGCAAATTTTTTAGCTTGAATAATAATTTCAAACATAACAGGAGTGGACGGTACCGATGGTCTTATTGGTGACATTGGACCGCCAGGTACACAAGCAATAGAACCACCAGAGTGGTCTCAACGATTTCCAGAACAGTGTCCATGTGATAGCCCAGCAGGTCCCCCAGGTAGTCCAGGACTACGTGGATCACAGGGGCCTCCAGGAGATGCAGGAACACCGGGGACTGACGGAGCACCGGGTGAGCCTGGATTACAAGGACCACCAGGACCACCGGGACGGGATGGTAATCCTGGAATGAAAGGCTCTGCAGGTATGCCAGGAAGACAGATACCAGGTAATGAAGGACCACCGGGACCACCAGGAGGACCAGGAAGACCAGGAAATATCGGGCCGCGTGGACCACCAGGACAACGTATGTTTTTTTTTACTCACACAGAGATTATATCACTTTAATTAAGAATACAATTTTTGCTAGCACTAGCTTTTTATGAAAATAAAGCCATTTACCACTTATTAGTTTTTTATGGAAATGTATGAATTTCAGCTGGTGTAAATGGAGAACCAGGACCAGCAGGTGAAGCAGGTCCACAAGGGCCACCAGGACCATCTGGACCGCCGGGACAACACGGCCCACCTGGTCAACCGGGGGAGGAAGGACCGAGAGGACGTTGTGATCACTGCCCACCTGCCCGATTGGCTCCGGGTTACTGAGCGGATTGAAATCCAATTACCTATTCGCTTTCGAATTTCATACAATTCTATTATTATGAGCAACGATAAAAATCCATTAAAGAATTAAGCACGACATATTTTCATATTAACAATTCATTAAAGTTTGAACAATGGAGAAATTTTGAATACACACCAATTTACATTTGAGGAACGATTCAAAATTCAAGCACAATATTTATAAAAAAATATAGAAAATATTCAACATATTTTCAAAATTTGTGACATTATTTTACAATATTTTTAGATTGGAAGTTTGAAAAGATGTGTAATAATAATTTTGCTAATTCCAAATTTTATAAATGGAATAATTTTTTGATAGATTTAATTTCCCTTAGAGTTTTGTTTTCCGAAATAAAATACAATTTAATAAATATTGCGTAAATACTGCTTGAAACTCTAAAAAATATTAAAAATTAATCCGAAAACAAAGGTTATTAAACGTAAAACAAAAAAGATAGCAATTTTAGATGCAAATTAGAAAGTATCTGATATAAAAATTTTAATACACATGTATTTCATGCAGATTAGATGATAGATACAAGATATATGCAAATTAGACTAACATATTTAATTATAACTGAAATATTCAAAATTATACATCTTCAAATTAAAGCATTTTAGTAATTCAATAAATAACTGTCGTCTCACTGTGCAAATTAATTTTTAGCTGTATTTAAAAATTAAGATATGCATTTTGCGTCGCCGTTCATTGGTATTAAATTTCAAATAACAAGCGAAATATTATGTTGCGTTGATAAAACACTGATAGCGAAGAAAAAGGAAAAAGAGCAACGATTAAAATCAAATCAAAAGGGTAAAACGAAAATCAAATGTCTAATCAATTTTAATTATATCAAATGATGGAACTATTATTATTCCATTCTATATTTTCATCTCACAGTTGAAATATTGGAATTTCAACTACCTTACACATAGTTCAATTATTGCTTCATTATCAAAAATATTTCAAAAAAGTTTTCTCCTTTCTCCTTTCTAGAATTTTTTAGATTTTAAAAAAGAAAAAAAGAATTGAAAAAAAAGAATTTTTAAAAAAAAAAGAAAAAAAGAATGAAAAATAAAAAAAGGGAAAGAAACACAAAAAAGGGATGAATGTTTACGAGAAAAAATTTATTATGAAAAAAAAAAGAAACGTTGGTTTAAATCTAAAAATATACAAAAACGAATTCTTTTTTTTGCTCATAAAAAAATTGATCGAAGTGTAATGCTCACAGCTGGATTTTTCAATTTGATTTGTTCAAATTTGCCGTCTTCTTCTTTTCCCTCTCGATATCTTCAATAATCAATCCAATTTTTACTCCGATCAGTCCAACTATTAATCATGCGTAGAATGAAATTCGTTTAATTTTTCTGCGAATTCAAATTGCTTCTTTCGATTTTATACTCTTTTTTGGAAAACACGTTATTAAGGTCATTATGTTTGACAAAGAGAATCATTTTCTTTACAATGATTCATATGAAGAATGATACTGAAATAAAAAAAAATAAGCAATCTATCACCTTTATTCTCAACTAATCACTAATTTTATTTTTTCTTTTAATCTAAAGGAAGCATAAACAGCAGCGTACGCTCATGAATGAATTTAGCTGCAATACTGCCATAAACATACAATATATTTCACTAAACTTTATTTTCTCCAATGAAATTAGTAAAATTAGTCGAAAAGTTCATGTCAAAATTCACGTATCATGGTATAATAACTATACCATGCAAAGTAATAATTATTCAATTCTTTTTTAATTTACTTCCAAAAAATAACAAAGACAAAATGAACAAAAATAAATAATAATAAAGAAAAATTTTTATTATTATCAGTAAAATTGATTTTTCTAAGAATTAGAAATAGTGAAATAGAGATTGATTATTTCGTATTATCTAAAATAGTCACATTTCGAGAATTACATCCCAATATATTGCTAATGTAACTGTTGCATTAAACTATTTTTTCGGGTAATTGATTAAATGTCTATTTAAACAAAATAATATAAATATGTTAGAGCATAATCATTACACATACGTATGACATCACATTATTATCACTCTTTCATTTCTCTTCCTTTCTTCCTTCTCTTTCTTTCTCTTCCTCCCATCATCATTTTTAACACACTAATTTAAAATATTTTTTTTAAAATTAGTTTTTATGTTGGAGTTATTATGGAAAATAAATATTTCTATTCATTGTATGAAAAATAAATATTTTGCATTAGTGAAATATATCAATTAAAATTATGAAACCATTTTTCATTCGTAGTAATTTCATTTGATCGCATATCAGGAATTTTTTAATTTTTTTTGAAACCTACAACAGTTTTGAAAATATCACGGAGCACTAAATTATTCATATTACTTTTTTTTCACTCTGTCATTATCATCCTCGCCTGTAAAAGAAAGATACGTTTCATTGACAGCAATATTGCAGTAACAGTAAATACTGCACAGTAAAGAAAAATAGTAATAAATGAAACAGAAATTATGTCTGAGAATGAAACTTTAAATCATCAAATAAAAATGAGATTTTAAATTTTTATTAAATAGTTCTTTCTTCCTTCCTCTCTCTCTCTTTCCTTCCCTATCCATACTCCTTCTTCTCTCTGCTAATATGTTACATAAATTTCCATCAATTTATCACTACACTGAAAAAAAAGCTTTTCAGTTAAGTGCATACCACTGTCATTTTTTATTATAACATAATATGTCTGAGAATTTCAAAAATTTTTGAAAAATTTTAATTTTTTCCTTTAGAAATTTTATTCACTTCTTGCTCTGTAACATTTTTTTCAATAGTTTATTTCTTTGATAATTACTACTACAGCAATATATAATATTTATTATTACAGCAATAAGAATACAATAAACAACACATATACAGACATTTTACAATTAAGACAATCGTTATTGTTGTAGCATTTTAACGATGCATATAAAATAGAGGTGCACAGAGGTTTTTTAACGCTTACCCAATAAAGCATATCTTCCCTTTCACTTTGTAATAATAATAATAATAGTATGGAGTAAAAAGATAGACAAGAACGATAAAAAATTTGCCGTGATCTTTTTGCCTATCTTTTCTGCAAATCGATAAATTTTTAACTATTTGTTAATAAATGAATACATTAATTAAAACAATGGCAGAAGGTCAATTAGGCCGAAAAAGTGAAATTCATTTATTCTTAACAATAAAATCACCCTTTTTTCCCGCTATTTTAGTTATTTGTTCAAGTTTGGTTAAAATCAAATTAAATTAACTTTCAATTTTTTTTCTTTTTTTGAAAGTTTTTAAAACAACAAAATTGCACTTATTTGTCCAAAAAATTAATCTCCTCTTTCTCCCTATTTGTTTTTCTCTCTTTCCCTCTTCCATCCCGCTTTCCTTCGAAGTTTGTAAAAAAATGGGGAAAAAGGTAAATAAAAACAGAAAAAGGGAAAAAAGAGAAGTGATAGTCGGGAGGTTAAAATGATCATTTAAACAACCATACAGTGTGGAAAACAACTTCTTCCCTTTCTTATATTATTTCCAATTTTCATCCGAATACAAAATTTAAATACTAACAAGCAATCATTTTTCTTCTTGTTAACATTTGTACATTTCCCTTTCTATTGTTAATTACTGTGTAATTAATGATCTGCTTAATTTATCATTTCCTTGCTTCCTTTCCATTACTTAGAAAAAACAAAAATTTTAATTAAGTTAATTATAGTACAGAGTAATTCAACTGAGCATGTTGTGGTAAAGCTATTGGTTTGATTTTATTTGAGGAAGCTTTGTTGTTATATGCACAATCAAATCTGTTGGTGAAGATTTCTTGGTGGAGAGGTTTTATTTTTGGGTTGACGTTATAAGGTTAGCTGTCTTTCCTTGAGATGGGAGTTGATCACGATCTGATGGACTGGGCTTGGATTCGTTATTTAGGTCTTGCTCTAGAATGCTTGTTCCAAAGACTGCTTACTTTGATATGGTTACCACGCTAACTGATGTAGTTTATTGGGTCGAATATATATTTAGTTGGTGACAATACCGATAACGTTACCGGAGGTAACAGTGATGGAATTTAGTCGTTGATTTGACAGTTGCAAGAAAGCTACGGATGTTGAAATGGATGAAAAGAATATGTATTTGATTGCTTATATACCCAATGTGGGGCGGTGCTTAACAGATAACCCCAAGGTCAGACAATGTCATGCTGGGGAAAGAAACAGAGAGGACAAAGGGCATCGTTAGATTACTTGTTAGCTACATTTGTTTCACATAAACAAAGAACAATTAAAGAACAAAGGCGTTGTAAGGCAATCTCTTAATGAATTATAGCAACAAAGAAATTAAATTTAACAAAGACAAAATTGTGAAATATAGCTTCCTCGGCTTAACTGTTAATAAATTTATATATTTTACTGAGGAATACTTCTCATGAATTTAATTTGATAATTTTATACTGTGAATTAATTTTGGATTTCCGACAGAGCATGCTGATTTGTAATAAGTTATGAATTTCAATACAAATCAAATATCGTAATACAGTAAATGATAATGATACTTTCTAAAATAAAACAATATTTAACTCTATTTACTTATTCATGTAATTAAATGTGTATGTATCGAATAAAATTTTTTCAAACACTTCAATTTACGCTATTTTTTTTTTTTGTTTAGAAGGAAATGGTGTCAGTGAGAAAGAATTGTGGAATATTATACAGGTCATCATCATCATTATCGAATATCAGTGATAACAATGGTCGTTCCTTTTGTCAAGTAAGTATTATAGAAAGGTAGTAATGATTGTGAGTGGTAGATAATTTCAAAATGATGGTAAAACATGAAATTGGTATAAACTGATGATATCAAACATCTGTGTCCCATTACATTTTAAAATGTAAAGTTTAAATAAGTAAATAAATAAAATAAAATAAAATAAATAAAAAAGATAACTGAGCGAAATCTGCAAGAATAAAGGCATCTAATCTT